CTCCGTAACAGGTGGAGCGGGCTCTCGGCGGCGTTGCCGCCCCATCGTTTCGTGGGACGACTAGATCGACGGATTTCCGCTGCAGCGGGGCAACGGGAGGTGAAGGATCGCGTTCATTCGAGAGGGGAAAGTTGTCCCGACGTCTTTAAAGACGCGCCGATACCGGTGTGCACGTGATCGCTTTTCTCCGATGATTCAGCCGGCAAATCGAGGGACGGCTGTAACCTTTCGGACCGTGGAAGCCCCGTGTCGAGAAAACGGATCGCGATCGAGATACTCCTCAGAGAAATTACCGATCGCGGTTGAACGCTACTCCCCGTCGCGGTATAAGCGGCGCGTATTACCTTAAAGACATGGTTTACAAGCGCCTCCCCGCCCCGACAGCCTGGATATCGGTGCACGCGCGTACGCCTCTCCCTCCTGCCGCGTGCTCGCTGCTCCACGAGCTCGGCCCTGTGTTTACCGAAAGTTTTTCGCGCGTTTGCCCTCCCAAGGGTGCTCGTAAACTTCACGTTGAGGACTCGAGACGCGGCGAACGCGGTCAACCCTTAAAGTTTCGCCGCGAGAATTAGATATTCCAACGGGCAGAGTCGTTGATCGGTTTCTACGCTGCGAGGGGAATTTTCTGTACGCGTCCGGAATCGGGGAAACGGGTTGCGGGGAGGATTGATCCAATGGATTTCAATTCCGCGCTCACGCCGCAACCACGCCTCTCCCCGGGCTTCCCTCCACGGTTCCCGGATCGATCAAATTCCCGTTTCTGAAAAAAATCCGTGGGAACTTGATCGAACCGCCGGCGCGAAAGCCGACGCGTCCCGTTCGGGCCGAGATCGAGCGCATCGCTTAATTGGCTGGCACGGACATCGGCGAGTAGTTTTAGTATGATTTTATCGCGGCACGATTAACCCGTTGGACGTCGTTAAAGTTCCCGGCGGCGGGACGTCACGCCGACGGACCAGTGGGTAAACGATCGATCGCCTCGGACGACAGATTCTTTGGGAGATCTTTCGACTTTCTCGTGTCCGGGACGAGGCACGATAATCTGGGATGTTCGTGGGAGTGCGATTCAAAGATCGCCGTGTACTCGACGAGGCGAGCTGCTCGAAGCTAGAAACCGATCTCGGCGCGCCGCATCGAACATTCGTCATTCACGGCCACGCAGCACGGGTTCGTTTACGGTCGACGCTCGAGCGGTTCATTCATCCCCGCCGGCGTTCGTAGTACGATGCGTTTCGCGCGGCGTGGCCACGCGGAAAAATCCGTTGAATGAGGAAAAAACCGACGAAACACGAACGAAACGTATGGTAGAACGTAAAAGAGAGACGAGTGGATTGACTCACCGGGCTCGGCGAAGGTGATGATCTCCGAGGTCCTCGCGTAAAAGTCGTCCATCTCTTCCTGCGCGTCCTGGTCCTCGTGGTCTCCGTAACCGATCCCCGCGTTGTCCTCGGTCGAGCTCTCGGGCTGCTGGTCCAAGTTGCGGTACGAGTAGTCGTCGTCGCCGTAGAGGAACTCGGCCGAGTAGACGTTCTCGTGCTCGTTCCGCGACTTGTCCGGGTAACGAAAGGACTGGGCCTCGGCCCTGTAGAGGGTTTCGAGGGCCAAATGCCTGGGCACGGTGGCCAGCGTCCTGTTCACGTCCGGCCTTGTCCTTAAGCCGAGTTTCGTCAGGATCTGGTGCTTGATCGCCTCCAGCCGGAGATCATCCGGGCTGGGCGCGGCGTGCTCCTTCGAACCACCGCCCCGATGCGTCTCGTGCATGTGCTGATGCTGTTGCTGCTGGTGCGGACAGCCCGGGCAGGTCTGATGATGGTTCTGTCGGGGTTGTACCGGTTGCGGGAACAGGGTCAGCCAGCAGATCGCAAGCCCTATCAGCAGGAGGTTCGAGGGCAGCAACGAGGACGATCCTCTGTACCTGGCGACGATGCGAGGCGTAGGGGATCGACTCGGATCGATCGGAGGCGGATCGAGCCGCGCCGTTCGACAGGTACCGCTCTTCTCCCAGAGGCTCTCGTTTCGACCTGCGTTTGAGGTGAGTCCCGCTCTGTACGGCACCTGGTGCATCTCGGCGGCGAGTCACCTCCTCCTCCCCCACCACCACCACCTCCTCTTTCCTCTACTACTACTACTACCGCTACCGCCGCTATCACAGCAGCCGCCGCTGCTGAGCCCGATGCTACTATCTCCGATGCTACTATCTCCGACACTACTATCCCCGATGCTACCTTCGATGCTACCTTCGATGCTACCTTCGATGCTACCTTCGACGCTACAGCTACTGGGTTTGCTTTCGCAATTACTTTTGATTCCGCTGCTACTATTGTCCTTGCACTCGGTTTCGCTATTGTTTTTTGTTCCCTTTCCCCTAGCTGATGCTCCTCCTGCTGCGCGTATCTCCTTTCGATCCTCCGGCTGAACGTCGAGGCTGTCCTCCGCGATCGTTTGCCAGGATCGGCAACAGCGAGCGAGCCCGCGATTCCGATCGTCCCAGAGGACGATCCCACCGGGACGGTGGTGGACGGTACCGTTCGCGTTCGGCCGAGCGAGCAGGCCGAGCGTGGCGAGCGCGATGCTATTCCGTAGCCCGCGACGCTGACGGTGACGATGACGGTGTTGCTGGCTGCCCGTGCAGGCTGTCCTTGCCTCTGACACTTGCCCGCGGCACAGCGACGAACAACGGCTACGACGTCGACGACGGCGACGAGAGGGACCTGTTGAGAGGGCGAGGATTGCGTAGAACGGCGACGAGAACGGCGATGACGACCACGACGACAGGGAAAAGGCATTCTCGCCAAAACCCCCCATTACCAACTACCCGGTGCCGCTGTTTCAGGATCGATCTCACCCGCAAGATGGACCGCCGTAACAACCGGGTACACCCTGCTCGTGTTTTCGGCCATTCGCGCTCCTTTTCGCTGTTGCAGCTCGCACGTCCACAGGTACGTGGCCCACCCCTTACCACACGGCCACCGCGATGTCCCTTCCCTTCTCTTTCTTCTTTTACTTCATCTACTTCCTCTACTTCCTCTAATTCCTCTACTTCTTCTACGCCTTCTACGCCTTCTACTTCTTCTAGTTCACCGGCTCCTCTTGCTCTGTTGCTTTCGGCTTCTCCTGTATACCCTTTTCCCCTTTTCACCTTCGGTTCTCCCGTTTCAACCCCTCTCCGAGTTTCTATACCCCTAATTTCTATCTAACTCCGGCTATCACCGTTTCACCCGACGATCATCGTCCACCTCGATCGTACCTTTTTGCCTCCCGAAGCCGGGCGAAGGATCGCGGTAGATCCCGATCCTGGTACCGTGTCCCAGAAGCTCCGACCGTTATTCGAGGGAGAACCGGGTTGTCGACCCTAATTCCTCTCGGCGATCCGTGTACGTTGCTCCGCACAATTCGTGTACGATCGATCCCCCTTTTTTTCTCTTCCTCGGGATCCTCTTCCCTTCTTCCCGGTTTCTTCCGTTTCCTTCGTTCTCGACGACCGACGGACGACTAAGGTCTCCTCGACTTTCTCGGACACTTTCTACGCGTACCTAATGTCTCACTACGACTAAGGTCTTCGGAATGATGCACCATTTAAAAGTCTGCCGCGACCGAACACGCAACGATGGGCATCCGACCCGGCGCCAGAGTTCCTCCAGGAGGATCCCGTCTGGCCACCGCCGAGAAAAATCCTCTTTTTCCGCTGGACGGTTCTCTTGCCGACCAACGACAACCCTCCGGCGTCCGTTCTCCCTTATTTCTTTTTTTCTCTATTGTCCGTGGAAGGGCGACCGTGATGCGAAAAGCCGCGTGTTCCTCGCGTGCTCGGGCCTTTTCGGGCACGTAGATCCCGTCCGCATTCTCCTGTCCTTCGATTCAGCCGTACGATGGATCCCTTGCGACGATCACGGCGACGATCGCGAACACGAT